CTGAGGGAGAAGGGGCTGCAGTCCGCACCCCCGGGTCTGAGGGAGAAGGGGCTGCAGTCCGCACCCCCGGGTCTGAGGGAGAAGGGGCTGCAGTCTGCACCTCTGGGTCTGAGGGAGGAGGCTGGGGACTTGGACTCCTGGTCTAAGGGAGAAGGGTCTGGGGACCTTGACTCCTAAGACCTGAAGGAGTTAGATTCTGGGGACCCTTGCTGCAAAAGGAAAGGACAAAGGCTCCTAAGAAGTTGTGATCAGACCACTGGCCGTCTAAGCCCGGGAAAGCCAGTGGGCTGAACTGATAGCCCCAGGCTTGGTGAGCAGAGGGTGGGCAGAGACTATGGCTCCCGGCTCTTTATCTGACCTCCACCACCCGTTCCCCAGGGCCTTGGCAGCAGTGGGCAGAGCCCAGAAGAAACTGGCTGGGGGCGGGGCTGGGAAATGGATCCTCCCCATCCGGATGTCCCTCATCTCCATCCTTTAGCTCAATTTCCCCCAGAATCGACCTGCCTTCAGTCTGGGAGGGAAGGAGCAGGCAGGTTTACAGTAACCTGGATTCCTGGGCCCCAGGGAAGGAGGGGCGGGGGTCTGAAGGAGAAGGCTGAGAAAGTCTGGGGGAGAGGTGCTGACTTTGAGGCCAGTGGGGAGCGGAGGGGGTAGCATGAGTCTCAGAAGGCTCCCTCCCAGAAGGTTCCTGTTCAGTCCAGGCAGTGATACGGGCAGGTAGTGGACAAGGACCGAAACTCAGGCTCGAAGGGGAACAGAATTGCTCCACAGGAAAGGAAGGGCTGCAAATCTGCCTGAGGCAAAGGTTGTGGAACTGGGCCGTGGGGTTGGGAGGGGCCAGCTGGAAGATTAGGTTGGGAGGATTCCTGGGGGCCCAGAAGCTTGGCTTGGACTTGGGGATGGGGAAGGGGACAGCTCTGAAGTGACCAGCAGCCACAGGGAGGGTCAAGGGGGGCCAGCTTCCTCTGGCCAGGCAGCCGAGGAGAGGGCAGCAGCATGGAGGGGGTGGGGCACCGAGGCCCAAGCCAACAGGAAGCATGGCCCGGGGCCTGCCCTGCGCTCCCACACTTCACCACTGCTCCCAGCAGGGGAGGTGGGGACAGAGCAGCCCTGGCAGATGAAGAGGGGCGAGAGGGTTCTTCCTCTGCTTTTCCCACTCTCAAGCCTTCCTTGCCAGGCTACGGCCCGTGAGCTGGAAGGGACTGGGGGAGTAAAGCTCTCTGAGCTTCAGGTTCCCGTCTACAAACTGAGGGTGAGGGTTCAGGTCCACAGCACAGGGTCCTCTGCAGCTCCCTTCTCACCACCGCCTCGGTGACACCCTCTCTCCTCCCCCTCCACTGCAGTCTGATTCAGCTCGTTTTGCAAGGAGGCCCGGGACACCTGCTCCCCAGGGCAGGGGCCGAAGGAGGGGCAGGGGCCGAAGGAGAGTCAGGTGCAGAAGGCTGGGGAGGACAAGGCACCAAGATGGAACTAGGGGCATGGGCAGGGGAGAAGGGCGAGGGATGGACAGAGGCCCAGAGAGAGACGGAGAGACACAGAGAGGAAAAGGGGGACAGAGAGAGCGACAAAGGGGAACGAAGGACAGCGACAGTCACAAGGATAAATAAAAAGGCTGGAGAGCAACAAGAAACGCACTCCTGAAACCTACGGAGGCAGAGAGGCTGACAGACAGAGACCCGCAAACCACAGAGCCAGAAACAACCACCCCACAGAAAGGGGAAGTCAAAAACCAGAGGGTCCAAGTGCAGACCGTTTCAGCAGAGAAAGAGGGATCAGAAGAGGAGAGGCCACCAGAGAAGTGGGCACTGCAGTGGGGAGGGGGCTGTGTCCCGCTGGAGCATGGGGAAGGGAACCAGGGAGCCACAGAAGGATGAAGGGGGTGGGGAGCGCTGGGGACAACGGCACCATTGTTCAGGGAGGGGTGGGGGAGGCCCCCCAGGGCAGGAAACTGGCCCTCTTCCCCTGCTCAGAGGCGGCACCCTGGCCCAGGCCCAGCCAGGAGAGCTGGCAGCAACTTAGGAGAAACAGGTGCAGGGCTCTGAGTACGAGGCCCAGGTGGCCCCCTTTGCCTGACAGCATCCCCCAAACAGAGCCGGACCCCTCTTAGCGAGCCCAGCAGTCCCAGTTTCCTCTAAATCTTTCCCTCCAGAATTCTAGATTCCTCCAAGGTATTGCCATACAAAGAGAGGAAAAAAGTTGGTTTCTGGAGGCCCAGTGCTTCCGGCCAGATCTGCCCTGGGCTTAGAGCCAGGAGTCAGGGCAGGAGGAGGGAGGAGAGAATGCAGGCGCAGGGCAGGGGGGCAGGGGCGCCTCTTAGACCCAGGGCTGAGGTCTCAGAGATTCCGCCCCCTGGATAAGAGCAGCGAAGGGTGTCATTTAGTTCTCTGTGACTGAATGATACTTTCTAGGCTCCTGGAACTAGGAGGGAGATGAAGTTGGTTTCTAGGGCAGGAGCAGCTGGGTGGGAAGGGGAGGGGAGGGGGCACCCTCTAGAGACCAGATGTCTTTTTCTAGACACTCTACACACATAACTGAGGAACTCTTGTTCCTGAGCAGGGGACAGGAGAATACACAGAATGTGAGGGTCAAGGCTTCCCTTCGGGGGCTGGGGGGGTCTAGGAAGAAGAGCTGAGAGGAAGGGTAGCAATGGACAGGGCTGACAGTTGGGGAGGATGAGACCCATCTCTCTGGGGACCAGAGGATGGTTTTGGACTTCCCCAAACTCCAACCTCAGGGGGAACTGATTTGGGGCTTGGAAACAGGGAAGGGGGAAAGGTAAGGACGGGGGTTTCAAAGGAAAACAGAAGCTGGCTGGCTGGAGGCCTGGGACCTCACCAGTTTTCTGTCCTCCCACAGTGGTCGCTCTACCTCTTCCTGGTTAAGTGCACCATCAGCCTTTCCACCGTCTTGCTGCTTTGCTTTATTGTCGCCTTCCACGCCAAAGAGGTCCAGGTGGGCCCCCCAAATCGTATGTACCCCATTAGCCCACCCACCCCACCACCTCCTCCTCCTGGTCTGAGTAATGAGGCTCTTCCACTCCGAGATGCATCCACACCCCGGCCCTCTGGGGTGGTAGGAACCAGAGACAGACAGTGCGACCCAGCTCCCTGGGCAGCCCCAGCCCTTCCCCGACCTGCAGCCACAGCTTTCCTCCTGTGCACTCAGGGATGCTGAGGACTCCACCTTTCCAGCCCCCGTCTTCCCTGCTTCTGCCTGCTGCTCTCTGTCCACTCTGCCCCTAGGCAGTATCTGCCCTCCCTCTGGTGCCCTCACTATCCCAGTCCCAGGCTACGTGAGGTGCCACCCAGTGCCTGCCCCTGACTTCCCCATCCCCAGGCCAATATCTTCCCACCCTTGTCCTCCCACCTCCCATCTCCCCAGGTCCTGCTGCCCCATACACTGGCATAGAACACGGAGATTATTAGCCATGCATGGTAACCCTGGCACGTAACAGGCCTGGGACATAAGAGGCTCCCAGTAAAAAGTACACATTAACATCTTCATTAATAACAGTGCTAAGCTGGGCGTGGTGGTGCACTCTGATCTCTGCACCTTAGAAAGCAGAAGCAGGAGGATGGCAGGTTCAAGCCCAGCCTGGGCAACTTAGTGAGTTAGCGAGACCCTGTCTCCAAGCAAAAAATAAAAAAGGGCCGGGAATGTAGCCCACTGGCAAGGTCCTGGATTCAATCCCCAGCACAAATGTGTGTGTGTGTGTGTGTGTGTGTGTGTGTGTGTGTGTGTGTGTGTGAGAGAGAGAGAGAGAGAGAGAGAGAGCAGTTAATTGGCCTGGGCCACTGAACTTGTAGCCTAGGACACCATTCCCCACCTGAGAGATCTGGACCTCAGTTTCCCAATCTACAAAATGGTTGTAATTATATCAGTCTCACAGTGTTGTGAGCTGAGTCAGGACATGAAAAGGGGGTGGATCAGTGCCCAGTGCACCCAAAGCACTCTGTAAATGTTTGCTATTGTTATTGCTATGCCATTTACTACCAGAGTCCCCAGAAGCAAGGGTAGGACAAGCATCCGGGAATGTAGGACCCAGAGAGTGTTGTGTTCACTACAAGCCTCAGCACATAGAACATGGCCAAGCACACAGTAGGTTCTCAGTAAACGTGGCTGGGCACATAGTAGGCGCTCAATTAGTGCCCAAGGAATGCAAGTTCTGTCCCCACCCCCGCCCATGGTACTGGGATGGAGCCCAGGGCCTTGCATGCTCGGGGCAAGCGCTCTGCCACTGAGCTGCACCCTCACTGGGACTTTGAGTTCTAGACTTGAGCAGAAACTGAGGGGAGGGGACCAGGCAGAGCCAAGTCCTCTGAGCTCCTGCCCTGCTCCTTCCTCAGCCCTCCCCAGCCCCATGCCCTGCGCTCTCTCTCCCCCTCCAGGGCCAGCGACGCCCCACCTTATCTCGGGGCGCAGACTGGCCGGCCGCCGCCTGACCTGCACCTGACCCCTCCCCTGTCTGCCCTTCCCGGCAGCTGTTCATGACCGACAACGGGCTCCGAGACTGGCGCGTGGCGCTGACCCGGCGGCAGGTGGCGCAGATGGTGCTGGAGCTGGCGGTGTGCGGGCTGCACCCCGCACCGGTGGGGGCTCCGCCCTGCGTGCCGGGTTCCGAGGCGCAGCGGGCCGCCACGCAGGCCTGGCGGAGCTTCCTAGGCGAAGGGGAGGCGCTGCTGTCCTTGGCCATGTTGCTGCGCCTCTACCTGGTGCCCCGCGCTGTGCTCCTGCGCAGCGGAGTCCTGCTCAACGCGTCCTACCGCAGCATCGGCGCTCTCAACCAGGTCCGCTTCCGCCACTGGTTCGTGGCCAAGCTGTACATGAACACGCACCCCGGCCGCCTGCTGCTCGGCCTCACGCTTGGCCTCTGGCTCACCACAGCCTGGGTGCTGTCTGTGGCCGAGAGGTGAGAGGGGCCTGGGGCGAGGAGGGAGGAGACAGCAGACAGCAGAGGCTGCCCTGTCCGGTGGTGTAGGTTGAGGCCAACAGCGGGCCAGGCTCACACTTCCACAGACACACACGCACACACGCACACCTTTGAAGCCCACTTGCCAGGCTCCCAGGCCTCTCCTGCCTCAGCTTTCCAGGCATCTGCTCCTCCTCCAAACCCAAGCTCTAGGACCTGGCTAGCATTTGCATCTGCCTCGGAAGAAGGGGACATCTTTTCCAAATTAGCACAGAGCGGGCCATTTGGAGCTGCTTTGGAGAACTGCCTGCCGGGAACTGGGACCAGCTTCCTGGCTGCTGCCTGCGAACTATAAAACGACTTGGAGCTTGTACGCTTTCCTCAATCCCACTTTTACAGAGAGAAATGGGAAGTAGTCCTAGGCAGTGTGGTTCCCAAAATGTGGTTCCAGGGCCAGCAGCAGCTGCTTGCTGCAAATGCAGGTTCTCAGGCCCCTCAAAGACCTATTGGATACAAGGCTCTGGGGAGTAGAGCCCAGAAATGTTTTTCTTTTTGTTTGTTTGTTTTGTTTTTTGGTACTGGGGATTGAACTTGGGTCCTTGTACTTGTGAGGCAGGCACCGGAACCACTGAGCTAAACCCCCGGCCCCAGCAATGTTTTAAGAAGCCCTCCAGGTGATGCCCACCCAAGTTAGAGAACCTCTGGCTTAGGGCATCTGGCAAAGGACTCTGAAGGCAAGTTGGAGAACAAGAAAATCTGGCTTTCGATGTCTCCTCTCTGTGCCTCAGTTTCCTCATCTGTAAAATGGGTGTTAAGTTCTGTCATCTTTAAAGTCTCCTGGCAATTCTGTTCTTTTATGATTTCAAGCTCCTCTGTTTCCCAGTGTCTTCATTTTCCCAGAATCTTCATGATTCCCAATCAGTCAGAATCAGGATGAACGAATGATCCCTCCCCACCCTTGTCATGTTTCTCCTCTGGAAAACAGGGAGATGGGGAAGGAGTCAAAGTCCAAAAGTCCAAGGCAGAAGTCCTCAGACTTGAATATACTTGGGAACAAGGCTGTGGGCTGCTTAGCACTGCAGACCTATCCCTGCCACTAGAGACTCTAATTTAAAGGCTCTAAAATATCCAGGACCCTTGTGAAGGAAGCGTCCCCTGATGATCTGGATCCCAGGAGCCTGTGGGCTCAATTAGACTAATCTGGACTTTCCCATGTGGACGGCCCTAAATATCCCCTTCTGTGAAGAAACCGGGAAGGAAAGGATCCTGACAAGCCTTTCTAGAGTCAGCTCACAACCCACAGCCCAGAGTGGCTGGGTATCTTGGCCGAGTCACACAGCAGATGGAGAAGCCAGGATGGAGGCCAGGAAGGACCTCCAGAGCCCAGAACCTCCTGGCTTTCTGTTCAGGTTGCTTCTTGGGAGGGAGAATAAACATGGGGTGGGGAGGGGAGCGGAGGGAGTAGAAGAGATAGGGGAGAGGGGAGCAAACACCAGCAGGGTAGGGGTTCGGAAGTAACCTACCTTCCCCCATAGGCAGGCTGTTAATGCCACCGGGCACCTGTCGGACACACTGTGGCTGATCCCCATCACGTTCCTGACCATCGGCTATGGGGACGTGGTGCCGGGCACCGTGTGGGGCAAGATTGTCTGCCTCTGCACTGGAGTCATGGTGAGTAGTGCCCCCACCCAGACCCGGCCTCAGGGCCCAGAAACCAGAGCCAGCATGGGTTCTCAGGCAGACCTCCCGAGTGAGAAACTCAGGGGCTGGACCTTCCTCGGCTTTGCTCCCTCTTCAGGACTCGGACACCCCACCTCCTTCCTTTTCTTTAATACTGGAGGCTGAACCCAGGGCCTTTGGATTGAGCTAAATCTCCAGGCCTTGATTTTATTTTGAGATAGGGTCTTTCCTAATAAATTGCTCATGCTGGTCTCAAACTTTTGATCCTCCTGCCTCAGCTTCCCAGATTGCTGGCTCCTATTTCTTTTTTTTTTTTTTGATACCCAGGATCGAACTGACCTTGCACTTACGAGGCAGGTGCAGTGGCACTAAGCTAAATCTTGGCCCCTCCTATTTTTTTCTTTTTTTGTGTGCCAGGGATCAAACTCAGGGCCTTGTCCCTCCTATTTCTTTTTATTTATTTATTTTTTTGGTACTGGGGATCGAACTCAGGTCCTTCCGCTTGCCAGGCAGGCAGCAGAACCACTGAGCTAAATCCCCGGCCCTCTCCTATTTCTTTTTAATACCAAGGAATCCTCCCTCTAAGTCCTTGCTCTTCAAAACGTAGAACTTTATCCTCCTCAGGGATTCAGGCTTTTGACTTCCAGCCCCATTTTCTTCCAGGGGTCCAGTCTCCTGCCTCCATCAGGGCCATCCAGTCATCATCAGGAGCGTGCCTTTAGGGCCAGTCTCCAAGGGTTCAAATCCCACTTCTGCCACTTTCCAGCTAGGGAGCTCAGGCAAGCCACAGAATCCCCCTGGGCCTTAATTTCCTCATCTATAAAATGGGGGTGCCGATACTAGTATGCTCCTCATGGGGTTCAGAGTTAGGCCATGTACAGTATAGGCTTCCCAAGGGAGCCTAATGCCTAGAAAGTGCTCAGTAAATGCAGCTGGGGTCCTTGTTATGATAACGATCCCAGATGTCCAGCTTCTGGTCCCTCAAGGGTGAGGCAAAGGCTTCCAAGCCCCAGACCCAAGCTCCTCCCCAGAGTCAGCCTCCTCCTGAACCCCAACATCTACCTCCTTCCTGCCAGGCCCCCACCCCCTTCCTCAGCACGTGAGAGTCCAGGCCACCAGCTCTTTCCGGAAACTGACACTGTGCTGCCCACTGCCAGATGAAGGAGTCAGCCGTCCTGTTCCTCCCACCCAGCCCATCCCCCTCAGGGCCCACCACCCAGTGTCCTGGCCTCTGCCTCCCTACAAGACCTATGTTCCCATGCCCACAGGTACCTAAGCCACCAGCCCCCGATGCTGCTGCAAGGAAGGACATGTTGAATCTCTAAGCCCTGGGTCCTCGGGTGATGAACGGGGTGTCAGGTAGTCTTTGAGACAAGGGAAGAAAGGCAGAGACTCAGCCAGAATACTTCCAAAGGGCGGGGACCTGCAGCCTTAGGGATGCCTGGGGCTTCCACCCTCATTTGACAGAAGGGGAAACTGAGACCCAGAGAGATAGGGCAATGTACACCAAGCTTACAGTCCCTCCTGGCTGAAAGGTTCCAGGGTACAATGGAGTAGCAATCGCTTACTTTGGTTGGGCACACACTTGTGCCCGTCTCAGCCCTATAAATGCTTCCTGGGTGTCGGCTCACAGAATCTGCAGTGACACTGGAAGAGTGTGCCCATTTTACAGATGGAAAACCAATCCTGAGAGGTTGAATGGCTTGCTCAGAGCTGGGCTTGGAACCAGGGACTCCGGGGAGCCCGAGTTTGTGATCACTGAACTGTGCTGAGTAAGGGAGAGCTGAGGCACACAGGGTGGGAGCTGCAGAGGAGGGGACACTGTTACTCCAGGACAGGCAGGCTGCATCCCAGAGCCTCTGGGATCCAACAGCGCCTGAAGATCAGCAACCTTGGGAGAAGGAAAGGAGGAGAAGCTGTTGGCAGAAGGCGGGCAGACTGAAGTTCCAGGAAGTGGGAGCCTAGGCAGAGAGTAGAGTGGGGGAACGGGGTCCTAACAGAGTGTCATGTCTCCCTGAGCTCATGGTAGAGAGACGGGGAGATGAGAGATGGTCCAGGAGGGAGAGGACAGGGCCAGAGCTGGGCGAACCTGCAGGGGTGGGAGGGTGAGGGACACTCACCCATGACTGATGGCCAACTAGGTGTGGACAGTGAGGGGGAAGGGCACCAGGACCAGCCTTCCCTTAGCCTCCCCTCCCTCTCTCGATTGTGCCCTAACGAGAGAGGACGTTCTGCTGATGGAGTCCCTCAGCAAGTGGGTGTGATCGAAGCGGCCCCCTTGGCCGTTGGAAGGCTTCTGGAGAGGGTGGTGGCGCAGGGCTGGTCCCAGAGTTGCACAGGCGCATGTCACTGTGCCCCTGCCCACAGGGGGTGTGCTGCACAGCCCTGCTGGTGGCTGTGGTGGCTCGGAAGCTGGAATTTAACAAGGCGGAGAAGCACGTGCATAACTTCATGATGGACATCCACTATACCAAGGAGGTGAGGTGGGCACAGGGCACCCGGAGCCGGGAATCCCGGCCCTCGCCCACTTCTCAAGCCCCCAGGAGTCCCGACCCCAGCCCCCTCGTCCCGGACACTGACACTGTGCCACCCACCACCAGATGAAGGAGTCAGCTGCACGCCTGCTGCAGGAGGCCTGGATGTACTACAAACACACACGCAGGAAGGAGCCCCGGGCCGCCCGTAGGCACCAGCGCAAACTGCTGGCCGCCATCTACACGTGAGGACCCTCTGTGTGTGTTCTTGTCACCTCTGCATGGCTGCATGTCGGGACACTGTGTGACAGATGTCCCCGGGTCTGACCGTGACCCCGTGTGTCTGTGGGCAGTCATTTCCCCACTGCGGGTGGAGATCATCGGCACCCCTCCCGCCCCTTCAGCTCTTCCTGTTGTGTGTCTGTGTGGGTCTCTCCTGCCCTCAGCCATCCCAGAGCTAGGGCTAGATTAGGGTTGGGTGTAGGAGATCTGACCCCCGCTTTGCCCACAGCTTCCGTCAGGTGCGGCTCAAACACCGAAAGCTCCGGGAACAAGTGAACTCCATGGTGGACATCTCTAAGGTACCAGGCTCCAGCGGGAGGAAGTGTGGGTGAGGGGGAGGCCAGGGCTGCTGGGTGGGAACCCGTGGGACAGGCCCAGCACACACAGGTTCGAAGCAGAGATTTATGGCTGAATGAAGGATGGAATGAAGCAATAAAGAGCTTCTTACATATACATGAGATGTGAATGCCTTTTAAACTTAAATTGTACAAAGAACTCCAACGTTTGATTTTTGAATTATCTTTACGATCAAGTTACTTACATGTGGATGGATATAAAATTCCTTCCCACTATGACTGTTATACAATAAAACCAAAGCAAATTTACAAACCAAGCCCAAACATACACTGTGAAACCAATAAAGTTCCACTTTACAACACCGGCAGGAAGACAGGCAGCATTGTTTTGGGACAGCTCAATCTCTGCCACTGCAGTGAGGGAGGGGACCAGGGACGGAGGGGCCCTCGCGCCAGGCAAGTCTGGGGTGACTCTCCCAGGGAGACTTTGATCTCAGCAGTGCCAAGTGTAGTGGCACCACGGCCCCCTTGGCCTGGCTCAGGGCCCCTTCTCTGTCTGGCTGCCTTTGCTTTTTCTCATTAGTCCGCAACAATTCAAACAGTGGCTCTTGGCACCAGTGCCATGGTAAACACAGGCACAGATACAGTCCCCAAATTGCATGGCAGGGTGAGAGGAGGTGCTGGCCCAGATCTGCCAGAAGGGCCAGGTGGTAACCTCTGAAGACAGGGAGGCCAAAACATGGAATTCAGGAATTCCTACAGAAAGCTCACGATCGAGGGTCCCACGCTGAGTCCTAGAGTAACAGCGTGGTCGAGGGCTACCTGGGTCTTGAAGCCAGGCACCATCAGCTGCACACACACCTAAGGGGTGCTGATGACAGCCCAAGCCCTCTCCCAGGTGCTGCTGTAAGTGGGTCATTTAATAGCTCCATGCCTCAGTTTCCTTGGTGGCAAGATGGGAAGAGGATTCTACTCCCCACAGCTTTTAAGAGGATCTTAAACTCTACAGGAAAGGAGCCTGGCCAAGTAGCTGGGACTTGGATGGTGGAAAAGGCAGCAGTCATTACTGAGTGGCTCTCTAGGGCTAGTAAGGACTCGTCATTGTTGGCTCCCTTGCTTATTCTGGAGAGGGAGGGGGCCCCCTGATACCTCAGCCCTCTTTTCCCACCCAGATGCACATGACCTTGAGTGACCTGAAGCAGCGTCTGAGTGACTCACACGAGGCCCTAGAGAAGCAGATCGATGGGCTGGCGGGGAAGCTGGACACCCTGAGCGAGCTGATCAGTGCTGCCCTGGGCCCGAGGCAGCTTCCAGAACCCAGTCAGGAGGCCACGTAGCGGTGAGGGGGCTGGGACAGGCGAGAAGGAGAGTGTCCCGTGTGGCCCTGGCCTGGAGACAAGGCCACCCTTTCTCTTGGGCTCTGGCTTGCCAGGAGGAGAGGACTCTTCGTTCAGGCTGGACTGGCAGTAAAGGAGGGGGACTTTCCTTCTCCCCTCCCTGTGTCGTGTCTTAGGGCCTTCTCCCTTTCTGTGCACAGTCTGTCTCCCTCTGTCTGTCCTGCGCCCCGTGCAGGTGCCCCCCTGTACCCTGCTCACGCGGTGCACACCCCCGCCCCACCCGCTAGGTCCTGGCAGCCTTCAGCCCCGGGAGTCTATTCTGATGCCCTCCCTCTGCTCCGGCCTCCTGTCCACCCATCTCTCTATCTCCCCAGGACCTACACAGGAGGAATCAGACTGCTTTCCCCAGGATGGAGGCCCCTCATCCAGCCCTGTGGATAAAGCGCCTCTTGCATGAGGACTTGGGCTGGGCCGACTCACTCACTGGCAGCACCCGCCAGGGGACACTGGCTCAAGGCGGAGCCTTGGCCCTCCAGAGGCCCCAAATGAGAGCATGTGCTACAGCCCCACACGCCCTCATTAAAACCTTTCCGCCATGCTGCTATAGATGACTTTCAGTAAAAAGTGGAGGTGTCTGGGGTGGGACCCGGGTCCCAGCAGAGGAGGGGACCAGGGGGCCCGGAGTCCAGGATCCTGGGAAGCTTCAGTTACCGCTGGACGGCACAGCTGAAAGAACAAGATCTGCGAGGCGGGAGGCGGCGCCCCCTAGCGGATAGCAACAAGGACACCGTTTTTCCGAAGCTGCAGAGACTATGGGAGTGTGGGGTGTGGGGCGTGGGGCGTGGGGTGTGGGGCGGGGTTGCAACTCACCAGTCTCTGCTCATATACTTTGTAATAAATGTTAACAAAATCAGTTACTGTTTCTTTCTAAACACTCCAAACTGGCAGGTCCTCCAGTGGAAAGTACTTGCACTGACTGAACCTCAGTTTCCCCATCTATAAGGAGGCTGGGTGGTTTTAGTGCCCTCCCCACTGAATGGGGGGTGGGTTGTCCTCAACCTCCTGCCCAGGTCTCTAAGGCCAAGAGCAAGGGCTTCAAATTCTGACCAACTGGGCTCAAATCCTGCTTCTGCCACCTACTTGCTGTGTGATCTAGGGCAAGTGGCTTTACTTCTCTGGAATGTTACTTCCTCTGTCAAAATGGGCTGCCTCCCCATGGAACCACTGTGGAGATCAGAACAGCTGGCACAGAGGGCTGAGTACTTAGTAAGAACCACATCTATGAGCGACAATCATTTTTAGTGCAGCCATTAATGTCCCTTTCTTCATGCCTCACCAGGCCTAGACAACAACTCACCAACTGGCAGGCACCCTACCGCCCCACATAACAGCATTATATCTGCTCAAGAGGAGTCTGCTAGGTCTGAGTGGAAAGGGCAGGGGCTGCCATCGGGCTACCATGTTCCCAGCTCTGTGAACTCAGTTGTTTCTTCCCCATGGCACTGGGGATTGAACCTAGGGCCTTTGCACTATCCAGCTCTTTTTAATTTTTTGAAATTTTGAGACAGGGTCTTGCTAAGTAGCTCACCCAGGCTGGGCTTGAACTTGCCATCCTCCTGCTTCAGCCTCCCAGAGTGCTGGGATTACAGGTGTGCACCACCACATTATGCTTGGTCCGCTTTCTATGAATCATCAGAACCACTCCCTGACCCCTCTAATAGTACAGATGTAGAAACTGAGGTCCCAAGAGCAGTGGTCCTGACCCAAGGACCTCAACTCTCAAGCTCAGCATCCAGCTGCAGAGCCCAGATTCACACCAGCCTGTCCTGGCCCCTGCTGCGGTGAGTCAGAGGCCAGGCCTTGGGCCTTGAACGGGTCTGCTCCCATAGTAGCTTCATCCTGGTTGCAGGGCTGAGTCATCTGCTTCCTCACTGTGGGGGAAACCCAGGCTGAGTCAGCCTCTTCTGAAGAGCTATCTTTGGATTTCCTTCACAGCCCCCCAGCCCTGAGGACTAAATCAGGGCCTCTACCACCCACTGCCACTTGCTGTCCTCCCCCTGGATGCCAGCCACTTGGGAGTGAAGGCAGGGACTCAAGGAGGGGACAGATGAACTTGCAAAGACATCAAGACACCCGTCCCCTGCGAGCAGCCCCGCTAGCCAAGCTCATTCCTCTGAGACCGTTCTTTCTGTGCTCCACTTCCCTTTCGCTGGCAACCCCTTCCTGCTCCTCCTGTAGCCTTGGCTCAGCTGTCTGGGTCCTCCAGGAAGTCCTCTCTAGGAACCTGTACCTGTCATAATATTTACTGGGTCAAGCACCATGCTACACTCAACATAAATGATCTCACAAAAGAGGGCACTGTAGGGCTCATTTAACACATGAGGAAACAAAGTCATAGAGAGACTCATAAACTGCAAAGAGGCGGGGAGCTGAAATGTGACCCAGGGATACTGGCTCAAGGGCCTGCCACGTGGTCCACTGGCTCCTTCAGATACTTGGGCATCAACTCACAGTGTTTCCATTTTTTCTTTTTCACTGTTGTGTCTTCAACACCCAGGACATGATCAGAAGCCAGGCCACAGCATGAGTCTGGGGCTCTGTCCTCTAGGTTCCGGCCACTTCCCTCTCCTCTTTCTGCTCTGCGTCCATGCTCGCAGCAGGACTGCGTGGCCTAAGGAGGTGGGTGCTTGCCCCAGACTATACAGCAGCCAGGGCCTCCAGGACCTTCCCAACACTCACACAAACCCCTCTCCGGCTCCCATGCCTCTCCTGTCAAAGTCTAGCTCCCAGGCCTAGCTCTTTTTTCCTCTAACTGAGAAATCTTTTACATAAATATACATTTGAAATGTAACCTCAATCAATTTTTACAAACACGCATCTGAGTGGTCACCACTCAGATCAAGAGAGAAGCTTCGGGTCCTCTAAAGCTCTCCTGTCACTCCCAGCCAATGCCCTCCTCTGCCCCTAGTGTCCACCACTGTGACCCTGCCAGGCTCCATGGCCCTGCACAGCCACCCCTGCAGCTTGGCTTCCCCAGGGCACAGCGGCGCCCCAGCGTCAGCACTCCCAGGAGTCACTTGGGGACTCTCCAGGGCCTGGCCCGGTCCCCCTCCCCCCACTCCTCTGCCCTCTCTGTCCTGGCTGCTGCCAGCCCTGGGCTCCTCTTCCTTCCCAAACATTCTTTGTCTAACTGCCCACTGTGCTCCCCTCTCATCTGCCCTGTCTGCTCAGAACAAATATCTTCAGGATTTGTCCAGTTTCTTTATTACAGCTTATAAAGGAAGCCTCTGCACGTCAACACCAGACCAGCAGTGCAAAGAACTGCTTGGAGCTTTTGTGCTGAGAGGAACAGCTGCCAACACACAAAAGCCAGGAGAATGCTTTGTGCAGTTTGGAAGGGGTGTCAAATGGAAAGACTTTCTTTCCTTTTACCAGGATGAGCTGACCTTTCAGTTCAAGGCCAAGCCACTCTTGTGGCCTGTCCACACGCTCATTTCCTTAAGAACCTGCTCCTATAGGCCTGGGGATTTAGCTCAGTGGCACCGTGCCTGCCTCAAGAGCGCAAGGTCCTGGGTTCAATCCCCTGTACCAAAAAAAAAAAAAAGATGGCTTAACCATAACCTGTAGTTAAAACATTATAATTTGGCAAGTGCAAAGACCCGAGTTTGATCCCCGGTACCAAAAAAAAAGAACCTGCTCCTAAACAGGGCACAGTGGCACATGGCTATAAACTCAGCTACTTAGGGGGCCGGGGATTTAGCTCAGTGGTTTTGCCACCTGCTACGCAAGTGCAAAGACCTGAGTTCGATCCCCGGTACCAAAAAAAAAAAAAACTCAGCTACTTAGGAAGCTGAGGCAGGAGGACAGCAAATCTGAGGTACCCTAGGAAACTTAGTGAGACCTTGTTGCAGAATTTTTAAAAGTAATCAAATAAAGAGGGCCAGAGATGAAGCTCAATGGTAAGCACTTGTCTAGCATGCACAAGGCCCTAGGTTCAATCCCTAGTACTGAAAAACACACAAAGCCTAGAATCAGAACAAACTCCTGCTTCACACAACATGAGACTTTCATAGAAGGAGGTAAAGAAGAGGATCAAGATGTGATATGTGTATGTACTGATTTCCCAGTGAGTGCATTTATTATGCATCACAAACATGCACTAATGTACAAGGAAGGGGGAGAAAACATACTGTCCAGTTTCGCTTACATGAAGTTCAAAACAGACATGGCCACTCCATCGTGGCAGGCAGGCAGGCAGGCATCAAGTCAGGGGTTGCTGCTGGAGTGAGGGAACTGGCAGGGAAAGGGCACAGGGAAAATCTCAAATATGTTGGAAATGTTATCTGGTTACTGGCTACACGAGCTCAGATATTTGCAAACATTCATTGACCTTCCCTTTAAGATCAGTGTCCTCAATGTACCACTAAGTTAACATTTCACCCCAAAGCAGATAAAGGCAAATAAGTATTGCTAGCTTTTCCTTCTAGAATATGCATCATGGCGGTGAGAAGTTTCTATAACATACATGGACTGGACGACTGAAGCCCTGTCCTTCTCACAGTGGCCCACGTCCACCTCCCGCCCTCCAGTCAACCTCCCTTCCCACCGGCTCCAGTCCTGGCTCCTCGGATGTCCCTGCTCCTCAGCCTCTCTCCAGGTGCTGCTCCTTCCCCTGACCCCTAGTGTGGTGTGCCTGGGGCCTTCTTGTTTTCTCCAGCCCCTCAGCACAGATGATCTCAGCAAATCCAAGGCTTTGAATATCATCTACGCCAGCAGCTCTAAAATTTAGCATGTTCATATAGTTGTTGATAAAAGGACAGGGCATCTGTGACTTGCTTAAAACAAATACAACTCGTGGCAGGATAAAAGAGTAGATAACTGTCAATTACTGGGCAATGGGTACATGGGAGTTTTTATACTGTGATATCTTTGTGTATGTTTTAAAAATCTGTAATGAGGGCCGGGGATTTAGCTCAGTGGTTCTGACGCCTGCCTGCCTCACAAGTGCAAGGATCCAAGTTCAATCCCCAGTACCAAAAAAAAAAAAAAATCTGTAATGAGCCGGGTGTGGTGGCACATGCCCATAATCCCTGTACTTGAGAGGGTGAGGTAGGAGGATCATCATGAGTAGAGGCCAGCCTGGGGTACATAGTGAGTTCAAGGCCAGCCTGAACTACATAGGGAGATCCTGTCTCAAAAATATCTGCAATGAAAAGACAGAAAAAGCCAGACGTGGTGGTGCACACCTGTAATTCCAGCATTCAGGAGGCTGAGGCAGGAAGATGGAGAGTTTAAGACCAACCTGGGATATATAGTGAGTTCAAGGCCAGGTACCCCAGCTTCTCGCCTAATTCCAACTGCTTAAAGTCCAATGTACATCTCAAAGTTAAGAAGTTCAAGCTGGGTGTGGTGGCAAACACCCGTAATCCCAGCACTTGTGAGGCTAAGGCAAGAGGATCGCTACAAGTTCAAGGGCAGCCTGGGGTACGAAGCGTGACCCTGCCTCAAACAAACAAACAAACAAACAAACAAATCCCAGTAAAAAGTATCACTCTTCATCTAGTTGGTCAGGCCCATAACCTTGAGAACTCTTTAATGTTGTACCTCATGATGTTTTGATATATGTATACTTTATGAAATGGCTCAATCAAGCTAATTATCATGTGCCTTCCACCACATAGTTATTTTTTGGTGGTGAGAACACTTAAAACCTGCTCTTTGAGTGATCTTCAAGTCCACACCACCTTGTTATTAACTCCAGTCATCATGCTGGACAATAGATCTGGAGGGTAACTTTGGAGTCACCCCCGAGTCATGCTTCCTCTCATGCCCGTTT